CCAAAGGATCCGCATCGTCGTGGACGAGTTTGAACAATTCAACACTCCCAACCCAAGGGTGCTGAAGAGGCTGTCTATTTGGTGAAGCTAACCCCTCGTCTACACAAGAAACGCTGGTGTTTGCAAGTCACGCCTTAAGACCCGAAGCTTCCACCGCACAAAAAGCCACCGCGAATCGGCTGGAACAATTCGCTGATCAAACAGGATCAAACCCCAGCTGAAGAGGTTCCCCCCTGAACTTCCCCATCGCTACCCCCTGGTCAATGGATGTCAATGACGGCCAAGAACAGGTTGCCTCGGAGGTCCTGCAGGCCTTCAAGGACACAAACTGCAGCGTTGACTTGAGAACTGCAGCGACACAAACCTAATTATATGTTAATGATGATGTAATGTATACTATAGCAGCCTGGGATTCCAACCACCATTGTTCTAAATGTTCTACATAGTGGGTTTTATCAAATAACCATGTTGTTTTACTGCTTACTGTTGATTTTTGCCTACAAAGCCAGGTTAACCATTCTTTTATATAATGACCTTGGAAGGCTAGCGTATGTATACACATCATTAGTCCAAAAGGGTTCTGTACCGAATCCGATGAGCTCTTGCCACACCGTTGGCCATGCGTGGGGCGTGCAGCATGAGGACACTGTGGCCTATACCGGAGGTCAATTCGCCCTATCTCGACCACGACAGCCTTTGGGCGTTGACAGGGCCAAGACGAGGCCAACGCACTTGGCGCCAAAGTGTACGACAGTGAAACGATGGGCATCGACGTAGCCTCGTCTTGCAGCGCTGCAGTCCAAATCATGTGGGCTGGCAGGGGAGGCCCTTGATGCAACTCCAGATGCGCAGATGCAGCGCAACCCACTTGCCCGCAAACTGTATGAATCACAGGTGAATGTGTAGCGGGCGAGTGAGGAGAACCATCGCAGAAAGCATGGCGAAGCTAGGAAGAGGTCTCACGGAGACGTCCTGTAAAGACAGGCCTTCAGCAGGCCTGTTTGATCAAGGTGCTACATTTGGCATTTCTTTGGATCTGCACAATCTTCACAAAAGGCCTTGAATTTTCACCACTTCAGCTTCGCCTGGTGGGCAGGTGGTGCCTTGCGGGGTTGCCGGCTTTCTTTGCTTCGCTCAGTTTCCCGCTGCCCAGCTCCGCTCGCTCCGCTCCCACGCGGGGCGGTCTCAGGAGGCGCTGAAAACGGCGGAGTGTTCCTTGGAGTTGGCGGCCGTGTGGGAGTTGGTCTCTGCGCAGGCGAGAAACGCGAGTGGAATGGAACGGGCGTTGGCGAGTGGAAGGAGTTGGCGAGTAGCCTCTTTTTCAGGGATGAGACGATCCATGTCAGCAAGGATGCAGAAACGATGACTCAAGGATGACTCAAGGATGACCACCCAAGACCAATTGTAGGGCCATACTTGCAGTCCCATGGATCCTTTGGGAAAGTGTGAAAGCATCCAAAGGACATCTTCACCCCTTGGTCAGTCAATGGAGGGCCAGTCTTTGCACAGTGGGGGGTGCGGTCCTGGGAGGTTGGGATCATGATCCCTCGAGTTGGATCGACAGCTTGAGGGTTCTTCAAACGGCGGCAGTTGCAGAAGCACCAGTGGGAAACGTTGCAGTCACTTCCGACTTAGAGTAACTGTAACATGCATTGTAGTGCACTGTAAGAAGCACAAGGCGGTTGCTGTAACGTTCGGGAACCGTGGGCAGAATATTTGTTCCACGGTTTTTGGCCGCTGTTTCTTCAAGGCGGTGAAACTCGAAGCGACCAAATCGGCCAGCTACTGCCGGAACGGACATGCAAAGAGGAGATGATGAAAGTGATGTCTCCACATTCAAGTCCCTATGGAACACATCTCAAGTAAGATCATTCCCCTTGAATACTTTGGTAGGCGTACCCGCACGAGTTTATCCACCAGAACTGTCACTCTCCACCAGAACCCGGACGGTTCATTCCTCATGTAGATGGCCCGACGGCCCGACAGCCCTGAACTGGCACAGAAGGACCAAGTCATGCTAAGACTGGACACCTCCTTTGAATGCTAGCAGAAGGACCAAGACATGCTAGCAGATTTGCGGATCGGGAAGGAGATGGATTGAGGTTATATAAGTCACTTAAGGTTCAAAACGGGTCATTGTTTAAATCCAACACTCGTGCGAAAAGAGTATATAAAGAAATCAAAGGATGTTTGAGTGATGCACGTTGCAGTCTGAAATGGTGGCATTGGACAGGCCATGCTGCAAGCTTTCTTGGAGCAGGTCCGTTCCGACCGTGATTCTGTCTATAGGTCAACACGCACTTCCGAACAGCATTTGCAGAGGTGAATTCTGGTGAGTCTCGCCAGAAGGGTGACAGACAGACCCACGGACAGACAAGTCTTTCAGACAGACCCAGTGACCCGCTTGGTGAAAGACACATCATGCTACACTCTGCGAGATCCCCATGGATGTGTCGTGTAACCAGGCCTGGTTGTGTGGCCAAATCAAGAAGGCTCCTGCTATACTTGCATTTTTTGCTTCAAGAGAACAACGAGTGCTTTTTGTCACACTACTATCCAAAAGATTGATAATTAGAAAACGGAGTTATAATTATCACTCTTCAGGGGTACCAGGTAGGTTGGAGTCCATCGCTAAAATAAAGACAGATGGAACATGTTATCATTAGTCATTTTCATTTTTGCTTCATGTGACCAGCTATACACACCGGAGTAGCACTCCACGGCTGCCAGATCTCCAAGCGACGAGAGGCTCTTCCCGCTCGGGGAGCTCAGAAGTCGCTTCTGCGGGCGCGGGGAGAAGCGACCCAAATCGAAGCCAAACAGGTCCTGAACCCTAAACCCTAACGGTTTAGGCCTATAGGGATAGGCATAAACCCTAAACTCAAATGGATCCCCAAACACTCCCCAGTCCTGAAGGTCTCAAATAATCTCAAATACACCTTCGTACCCCTCGACCAGGTATTTATCCAATGGAACCTCGGGTCGAATGCAACTTTTTATTAGGGATCTACGAATCTTCAAGCGCTGAACCGAGATTTATCCAACTTCACTTACTTGTGTCAAACTGAACCGGGATCTACGAACTTCTATCTATTTCGGGGTTGTAGGGAGCGACCGACGATTTTGGGTCGCTGGGTGTTTGGCGTATGCTGGTCATGGCCATGGTTTGGCCAAGACTCAAATGCATCAATTGGTATTCACAGCATCCCAGCCTGAAATGTCTCAGATGTTCTTTGAACAGGCTCTAAGTCAAATATTGTAGGCATAGGCCAAGAGATGAGAGATGTCTTATGTCATGGATCCAATGCGGACTTGTCGACTCCTCAATGCTCAATGGTAAACTTCGTGGATGTTGGGTGAAATAGCAAGCAGACATAGCGAGCAGGATGCACCCAGATATACCCAGATCCTAGCATTGGCTGCACAACAAAAAATCAGTGGGGACTTGAAAAAGGACACGTTGAAGGTCATGGTTTGATGCTCCAGTTGCTCCTGCAGCCCCTGTGATCTGACTTGGCCGTCCGATGGTGGCTCAGTTCTGAAAGGCTGCACAGAAAAGGAGGAGGGGCACTGAAAAGGCCATAAAGGATGCCAACGGGCTCATTTCTTGGCGTGGTCAAAGACAGAAGGACGTAGCAAAGCAACCCTTCCTAAATGTATGTTGCCATGGATTGTATTGTTGTTCAATGTTTTTTCCTCTTGCAAGTTGGGTGTTCAGCCTTGACTGGACTTCCTTCTCCCAAGCGAAAACCGCATCCGAAGCACCGCACGGTTCCAACCGTCACACGGTCTCCACACGGTCTCCACCGGTCTCCAGCTGCAGCGTTAATGGCGCCAAATACATCCCCGTGCGAATACCCCCTACAGAATGATGGGCCTTGAGGCCATAAAACCATGGCCATTTTGTAGCAGCCATACCCGGCATAGGAGCTGATGCCACAGCTTACAGACATAAAAAATCTTACAAAATGAGCCCGTGACATGCATTTTGTAAGAGCCAAGAATACTGATCATCAGTTTCTGGCCTTGACAAAATGAGGTCAGGGCACGCGTTTTGTAAGAAATAACATTGTAAAGACGCAACAAAATGACCTCGGAAGGATCATTTTATAAGAAAGGACATTCAAAGCGATCAACAAAATGACATTGGCAGTGTCATTCTGTAAGAAAAGCCTAACCAAGAGCCAAACAAAATGACCTTGGCTTTATCATTTTGTAAGTGACAACATTCCATGCGTTCCAAGACCGTGCTAGACCCTCCCACAGAACCTCCAGTGCACCTTTTTGTAAGAGATAACATTTCAGACATTTTGATAAGGATACTATTGTATTTATCATTTTGTAAGATATAACATTTCAGACCTTTTGATAAGGATAATATTGTGTGCCTCATTTTGTAAGTGATTGATCACGTTCTTGCAGCTCGGGGGTTTGCGCTTTACGTCGATGGCAAAGACAACAGCCTCGAGACCTCGACAGCAGAAAACAATCCGAGTGCCGACAATTGCGGTTTTTCCGGATGGACTTTCCGATCGGAAACTAACATTAGCTGTCCGTTGAGCCGTCGAGGGGAGCCGCGTTTCTTACAAAATGAGCCCGTGCATTGCATTTTGTACCGGTCAATAATTAATGCTGATGATATATGTACCTCTCAAGATGACGTTGGGCCATGCATTTTGTAGAGACCCACTAGCCATTTTGTAGAGAGTTTAGTGCCAACCAAGTCATTTTGTAGTGTTTTTACTACAAAACGCATTGCCTGACCTCACCCTGGATATTCGCACGGGGATCCAAATACCATGTTTGCCTTGGCTTTTGCGGATCGGGATGGATCGGGTGATGTTTATTCATCGTTTATTCGATAAGACATTATAACATGTTGGGTGTGCCTCGGTTGATTGTATCAAAAGCAGTGGAAAGCAACAGATAGAGATAGAAAGACTGTTTAATATTGACAAAACAGATGCCATAAATACATATGATAATGTCATATTTGTATCGAAATAACATGCATAAAACATGGCTGAATCCTCAGAATCGGAGGAATGTCTGTTCACTGCAGGGCTTTGATGGACTGGTTCAGCCCCAAGTTGCTTTTCTCGGACCTTCCGGACGCCATGCTGTCACCGGATTCCCGCGCGCGGTCCGTCGCGACGTCTGGGCGCTGGGCGATCCGGCTCTCGCAGGGCACGGCCGCCACACTGCTGGGCCTGGCAGCAGGTCGAGGGGGATCGGTGAAGACCAGAACCACCACGGAGTTCGGGTGGTGAGTGGATGGGTTCAAGAATTGTGTCCCAGCAGTGTCCAGAGTGGTCAGACCATGTTACCGAGGCGAAGGGACCGAGCGAAGGACGACGGAGACGTGGATCCGACCTGACCCGACGTGGATCCGGCCAGCCATCTGACCCGATCACTCCATGTCATGGTATATGTGCCTATACAAGTATGCCGCAGTATGCCTATATATACATATACATTGCAAGCCCCTCCATGTATCCAAGTCTGCAATACATGCAGTGTTTGGTTGATGTAGTAAGGAACCTGGCTCTGTGTGGTTCCGTCGGTTTCAGTCTTTGGAACCGGTGAGGTGGTAGGAACGGTCCAAAACCGGATCTCCATGGATCCCCGGGTCCGAAACTGCCACAGGAACCAAGGCGGGTGAAGAACGTGTCTTCCCTTTTACTAGCTTGGCGATGGCCTAAAAAACCATCTCCAAGCATCTCCAAGCTAGTTGTTTTCTGGCCTCCAACCTACTAGCGATGACCTCCAACCTATACAATAGCGAACTACATATATAGACCTGTTCTTTTTCCGGGTGAGCAGGTCACGCTGGCAGCTTCTTCACTGCTCTTCGAAACAGGGTTCAAGAAACGCTTCAGCCACCTGACACACCGGGGGTGCCTTGCACCCCACCGGACACACCGTTTCCACCCAACCAACTCCTCCGTGGCCAGAGCTACTCCAGCCCTGTTTGATTCCAGGTCTCAACACCCGCCAAAGCTACTTGAGCTCTCTCCTGCAGCTGCTGGGCTTTGCCTGTGCAGTAAGTGCCTTCTTGGCGACGAGTCGCTTCGTCCGCCGCAGCTCGGCGGTTCACGGCGTTTGACGCCGCTGGTGAGTGTTGTCTCTGAATGTTCTCCACACAGAGCGGAGGTTTCGTGGGATTGTTGTTCCCTTATTAGACAATATATTCATGTACATTATATATATATATATATATTATATATATTATATGTTCATACACTGGGGTGCCGAAAGTTGCGCTTCTTGACTTCCAAAACGGGACACACCCTTTCCCCTTAGAATCTTACGTGCAACATGTCGACACCTAAGTTGCGGTCAGATTTCCACACCTGAAAGCCTTATAAGTATTATAGATTTAAACGGATGTGGAAATCTGACCGTGCTGTACCTGCCAGGCAAAATAGACGTGTCAATCCGATCCGCTGTAGACCGCAAGTTTCATGTTGGAACAGAGTAAGAAGCATAAACTTTAGGGTTTTTGAAGTATATTCATATATATATATGTATAGATATATAATATATAATATAAATATTAATATATATATATATATGTATAATACAGGCGCTTCTTTTGGGGGTTGGCGGAGTCGTTCAGTGTCGAAGCCTTTCCTGGTGCACCCCAGTGCGCCGTATGGCAGCAATAGGTGGTGGGTCACCTTGGTGGACTTATATGGACTTCCTGAAAATGAACAGATTCCTCTATAAGTTAGGCCGGGATGTCAACCGATCCCATGGCTGGATGGGGGTACCCTGCGGGTGCTTGCGCGCCCGAAAGGGCACGAACCCAAGAAACTTATTCGCACCCAGTCGGTACCCAAGACGGTCGAACCGGGCACAGAAGGGGGTTTTGTACAACAGGCGGCTAGATGTCACCTCTATTCAAAGATCAAGATACTACTGAGAGCATCTCAGAGCAAGCCTTCAACACACAGCTGGCCAACAGCAAAAAAGCGGAGGTCGCGACCAAACTCAACTGCATGGACATCAACTGACATGGACTACAGGGGTAAACCAGGTATGCACATGCGTTTTGCACTATTATAGATAGAAACGGTTTCCAATACATTTTTAATGGGGTTCTACTTTCCTATCTATTTGGGGTTCTCTATATGCATTCAATATCATTCAATGTGGCAAATTACTGTACCTATAATCAGGGTATGGGTCTGGAAGTTTATCCCAAGCCGGACGCTGTTTAAACAAGCATACGTTGGTTGAAGATGTGATGCACTGAAATGATAATTCAAAGTAAAGCTGAGATGTTCCAGAGTGGGTCCATCTCAGGGAGGGTGGCAGGTTGATCGTTGTGATAGGAGGGTTACTCTTGGCGTTTGTAATGTACGTAATGATTCTAGAACCTGCGAGTTGTTGTGCTCGGGGGATCACTGGGGCTGAGGAGATTGGAAGAAATGCTGCTTGAGCCTTGGACTTTTGGCGAATGTTGGTGCAGTTCTCGCGCTCATGGATGAGCATGTCACTTGGCCTGACTCGCTTCACCGGCTTGAGGTGTTCATGGATGCAGAGGTGGCATGGCGTAGATATATTCGATTGTAACTGTCCTAATTGAGCTAATTTATAAATTGCCATCATAAATGGTCCTAATTCACTAACTAGCTGCAACCTTCTTTCTCGTCCGGTCATGGTGTGTTCCTTTGCAAAGAGAAAACCAGGCAATCAGATTGCTACATAAGGATATCATTAAAGCTCAATTGAAAGACAATGGTCTATATATATATATACTGTTTCGTTTCGCGAGACATTCCAGAATTGCTTGGCATGCGTTTTTCGTCGACATGAAAAACAAACTGAAGTCATGCTGAGGTTGTGATTGAAGTCATCTATGTGCTCGGCGTCTTGGATTGAAGAAGCTCGGGTTCCTTTGAACCAGCAAAAGATCGAAAGTGACTGTCGACACTCTGGGGTTTCAATGACATCGGGCAGGTTTTAATGACATTGACGGAGCATGATGTGGATGGAGACTGCATGTTGTATTCACTTTTTAGACAGTTGTTCGAAGAAGCCATTTTAATGTAATGTAGAATCTTGAGTCTTGAGATTAGTGAGACCCTCCATAATATCAAGAGGTTTACAATATATGTTACAATCCAAATTAATCAAGATTCCACATTTTTGGTTCATGCGTCATCGTTCATCAGCTCTAAAAACTAATGTTGCTCCGCTCGCGGGGGTCTGTGGCCACGGAACGTGTTTTCCAAGCCGTTGTCGATGCACACCCTTGTTTCGCGGCCATGCTATCTCCTATAGAAGCAACATGAAGCAAATAGAGAAGCTCATAGAACTCTACATCAATGTGAACTATGCATCCAAGTTGCAGACTTTGCACCAGACACAAGCTGAGCCTTCGGACTCGCTCTGTTTTTTTCTCGGTCGGCGTCACTGTTCATGGCTTCGGTGCCTGTTTGGATGCATGAACCCGAATCCAAGAAATCACCCTTGTTCGCCTCGGGCTTTCCATGGCCGGACTCCCAAGTTCTTAACATCAAGCTGATGTTTGATGCCCTAGCGCTCCAAATACCTCCTCAGAAGGTATTTGGATACCCCAAACCCACCCCAAATACCTTCTTTGAAAGTAATTGGAGCCGCAAAAATATTGACACCCACCCGGATCACCAGGACCGGACTCAGTCACTGCGGGGGGACGCCTGGTTCGGCGCCGAGACGAAAACGAGGCTTTCGGGAAGGCCTTTGGCATTTGCTGGGCCTGGTGCTTTGTGCGCTGTGCATTTCCGTGAACTTCTTGGGCCTGGCAGTGCTTCCCACCCAGGCAGGGCAGCTGGGCAGCTTGTGCGCGCGTACTGGTGTGTGCGTTCTGTTCACAACACACTCAGGCATGGTCTTATAGTTGGTGGCAGCTTAGGATTGCTTTTGTTGCACAGGGGCGAGTGTGTGTGCGCGCGCATCATAGATTTTATAAATGTGCGGGTATTTATGGAGATGTATATGGGGCCTTTACTCAACCAACAGAGGGGACACAAAGTAATCCATTCATCCCAGCCTTTGTTGGTTCCTTTTCGGGTTCTTAGCGGAAGGCTGGAATGAGCGTGTGCTGAAATCCAAATGTCAGCTCCCCAAATAGCCAACATACTGGATAATTGTGGATACTCCGTGTATGTATTGACCAGCAAATATATTAAGAACAATCTATTTGTGTGTCAAGCAGGCTGCGCAAGCGGCAAATCTTGACCTATAGAGCTCATTACAGTCATCTACAGTCAAGTCATGTGCAGTCCTTCATTTCTGGCAACGCCACACCGTTGGTTTGATTCACGCCGCAGGTGTGCACAGCACGTTCCTTGGACTTGGGTGCTGCTGCCTGGCTCGACCTTGAAGCACGATCACCAGTACCGGTGTCTGGGACGCGGTGAGTTGCGGCGACGGGGCGGCAAGTTGGAGCGCTAGTTGGAGCGTTTGTACCAACGAAATACCTGGGAAGAGGACCTAAGATGAAAGACACAAGGTCTTTCCGAGAGATAGAGAAAGAGTGAAGAATTAAGAATACATTCTGAATTCGTCTCGGAGACCGATCTCCGAATCCTTTTCTCTCTCCGAAGAAGAACGGAGCCGGAAGAGATGAGATGGCTTGTTTTGTAACCCAAATATGAATCCAGAACTGGAAAACAGCAGCGGTGATTTGCCTTCAGAGACTCAGATGACATGTTTTTTTCTTTTAACATGTAAAAGATGGGAGACACGAACATCTGACACCGCACCATTGGAATCCAGGCCAGATGCAAACTGTTTTACCCTGCAGAGTATTTTGGATCTATCTCCCGCATTTGTGCTAACTACCTTTGTGGGACCCAGCAGGATGCTCCCCAGAACATGCTGGCGGTTCAGCCATCTTGCGGGGTGGTCATTTTCTGGTCGATATCCTTCAGGTTTGCTGCATCAGTTGGTCCATTCGTTGGAGTCTGAAGCTCACCTTGTTGACAGCCCTGGGCAGCTCTCTCATCGCTGGCTTCTACGCGGCGCTGCATCCCAAAGCGGCTCGGAGTCGATTTGCAAGACATGTGATACCAAGGACATCACAGATCTCTACGTTGCTTAGTAGGTCAAAAAACATATACTACTACTACTACTACTACTACTACTACTACTACTACTACTACTACTACTACTACTACTACTGTACTACTGTACTACTGTACTACTGTACTACTGTACTACT